CCAGGTGTGTTTGAACTCAAACTGAGGATTTGAGGAAATTTTTCAAAAGAGATAATTTTTCTAAATTAAGAAAGAGTTTAAGAGAAATGAGTTGGATCAGTGTGTACAATCAGCCAGAGCCCGAATGGTAATTTCCCTAAATACCCTTACTTTTGTGTTGTGAGATATTTATGAGATATTATGCATGCTAGAGAGTAGGCTAGGTATTTCATATTTTAGGACTAGAGTGGCATGATTTGTGATGCCTTAGCCTAAGAGTTGCTGCTATCTGTGATTGCTTTTGAGTATGAGTATTAGCAGAAATCAGCTAGAAAGGGTTCTTGAGTTGAAAGGAAATCTAGGAGAGACACCTAGATGAGCTTATGAGAAGTCTTCTGAGAGAGTATTTTTTTCTTTGTGAGATATAGAGTACTTGTGAATTGGGATCCTAGGAAGAGGACTTAGGATGAATACAGATGTGGTGTGGAAGGTATTATTAGGCCCGTACTACTGAAAGCACCAAATCTGTAGGCAGTCCAAGTAAGAATCATTAAGGTGCTAACGAACAAGAAGGGGAGATTGATCAGGTGTGAGTATACTTGAGCGAGTCTCTAATTATTTTGTGTTGTGTTTTAGAGACATCATGCTGGGTACGCACCATAACCCAGAGAGTAGTGGAGTCAGTGATGATGAGATTCGCAAGATGATTCATGACGAGGTGGTCACAACTACACGAGAGGCTATCCCAGAGATGTTTGGGTATATCAAGACCACTCTGATCGAGGCGTTTGATGAGCGATATGTTGCTGTTACCCAGGCGGCTGCTACTGCAGCCACCGCAGCAGTCGTTGCTGCCATGCTACAGGGGTTGACTCATAGTTGTACCGAGAGTTCAACAACACGAAGCCACCAGAGTTTGAGGGGTGCGTCTACACTTTTTCATGTTCAAAGCACTTAAGGGTACGGTTCGCGCTGAACCAGCTTCGCTTGGGAGTGATGGATTGGTGGAAGTTTGTGATAGCCAGTCTTACTCCTGCAGACCACACTGCAGTGACATGGGAGAGATTTACATCAATGTTCCGAGATGCATATGTTCCCTTGGTGGACAGGGAATGATTGGTCCGGGAGTTCCTGTCTCTCAAGTAGAAGACAGAGTCTGTGACAGTGATTACGAGGATGTTTCATAAGAGGGCATTGTTCTGCCCTGAACACGTGTCTAACGAGCAAGCACGTATGAGTAGGTATTTGAGAATTTTGAGTAGAGATATTCTTGAGTTCGTGGCGAACTAATCTTATCGGTCATTTTCTGAGCCTCGAGAAAATGCCCGAAAGAGGGAGATGAGCTGGAGACTCAGGCCAGGGAGGAGGTGGAGTCTCAGGGGAGAGACCGGTGGCCAGCACAGTCTCAGCCAGATGGAAAGCGGGCTAAGCTCGCATATTCGAGATTAGGAGGCCAGAAAGGCCGCACTTGTGGGAAGTGCGGCAAGAGTCATAAAGGGAGATGTCGAGTGGGGTCTTGCTTCATGTGCGACAAAGAGGGGCACATGGCAAGGGATTTCCCCAAGGCTTTTGCAGTCTGCTTTCACTACAACCAGATCGGCTATCAAAAGGCCAAGTGCCCCCAGCTACTTCATGGATTAGCACATGGATCTGCACCTTCTGCTATGCGAGCTACCGAGGGGCGACCAACGAAAGATGAGGCACCGAAGGTTCATGGGAGAGCCTTTCAGCTGACAACGGAGGAGGTTCGCGTAGCACCAGATGTCATGGCTGGTATGTGTTCTTTTTTTATTCTATTTGAGTTATTTTGTACTTATAATGTGTAGTGTATAGGTAATTTTCCTGTGAGTTTTGTACCTGCTTTTGTGTTATTCGACTCGGGTGCGAGTCAATCCTTTGTGTCATTAGCGTTTAGTCATCAAATTAGTATCTGATGTGAGGCGTTGAGTCGACCTCTGAGAGTTTCTATAGCCGATGAGCACATAATGTTTGCTACTGATGTGATTTTTTGGTGTTGAGTTTCCGATAGATCTGATTCCGATCGCGATGGCTGATGTCTATGTTATTGTGGGCATGGACTGGTTAAGCTGTTTTGGAGCTATGATCGACTGCAAGCATCAGTTGGTGACCATACGAGACCCTAGTGGGGGAGTGCTTATAGTGTATGGCGAGGGTACCCGATTTGGGTCAGCATTTTGCTCAGCTGCCAGAGCGATACAGAGTCTACAGTAGGGTTGCAAGGGTTTTGTAGCGTATTTCATGGATACGCGGGTTGCTACCCAGAGACCGAGTTCTATCATTGAGGTTCCAATAGTGAGTGGGTTTCTAGATGTTTTTCCTGAGGAGTTACTAGGTGTGCCTCCCAAGAGACAAGTGGAGTTCCGGATTGATTTGGTTCTGGGTGCGGTGCCTATCGCCAAGGCACCTTATCACCTTGCACCATCAGAGATGCAGTAGCTATCCTTGCAGCTTCAGGAGCTACTGGGGAAGGGTTTTATCAGACCGAGTAGCTCGTCATGGGGAGCGTCGATCCTTTTTGTCAATAAAATGTACATTGATTACCGGGAGTTGAACAAGCTAACGGTCAAGAACCGTTATCCACTTTCGAGGATCGACGATTTGTTTGATTACTTGCAAGGGGTATCTTGGTTTTCCAATATTGATTTGAGGTCTGGATATTATCATATGAGAGTCCACGAGGAGGATATTCATAAGATGGCTTTTACGACTCGTTATGGGCACTACGAGTTCGTGGTGATGCCTTTTTGGCTCACCAACGCACCGGCAGCGTTCATGGATCTCATGAACCGGGTGTGCAGACCGATGTTGGATCGATTGGTGATCATGTTCATAGATGATATCTTGGTGTACTCGAGATCCAGAGAGCAGCATGAGGAGCATCTGAGAGAGATTCTTGGTGTGTTGAGATCCGGGAGGCTTTATGCCAAATTCTCCAAGTGTGATTTCTGGTTACAAGAGGTCCAGTTCCTAGGGCACCTCATTAATCAGAATGAGATATTGGTCGACCCGGCCAATATTGAGGCAGTTATGAGATGGGAGGTGCTGAGATCCCCCACCGAGATCAGAAGTTTCCTAGGATTGGCCGACTACTATCGGAGATTTATCAGAGATTTCTCCAAAATTGGGGTCCTGAACAGCAGGCCTCATTCGAGACTCTTTGCTAGAGATTGTGTGAAGCCCCGGTGTTATCCCTTCCCGAGGGAGTGGAGGACTTTGTGGTATACTGCGATGCATCTATATCTGAGTTGGGTGTAGTGTTGATGCAGAGAGGGAACGTGATAGCATACGCATCGAGGAAGTTCAAGCCTCATGAGACGAGATATCTCACCCACGATCTAGAGTTAGGGGTGGTGGTGTTCGCTCTCAAGATCTAGCGTCACTATTTGTACGGGATTTGGTGTACCATATACATGGACCAAAGGAGCCTGAAGTATCTCATGGGTCATCCAAACCTAAATGTGAGAAAGAGGAGATGGTTGGATGTGGTGAAAGACTATGGTTGTTTTTTTTTTTTTTTTTTAAAAAAAAAGCTCTTCTAACCTCTTAGTGCTGCGTGGCGCAGCACACGCGCAACACTTTTAAGTTCGCAGCAGTTTGTTTTTCTGCAGACTTCGGGTTCAAAAACCTCTTCCCGTCCTCTTCCCCATACAACATTATGCTTTGTTCTTCTAACCGCTTATAACCTCGTCTAAAAAACACACTACAAAAAAAAAGATGCCACTGCCCTAAATAGAAAAATGCCGCTCGAGTCCCCTTTTTCTTCTTCGCTCATTCTCCTTGTTCGTTCTCAGCACCGATCGGTCCTGTTGTAGACCGAAGTCAGCCCCCGCCCTCCGCTAACCCTCCCTCGCCGGTCACCGGTGCTGCTGTCAATTGCATGTTCTCAGCATCCTTCATTCTCAGCGCACTTAAAAAGGTTAGGTTTTTTTTTCTGATTTCTTATAGGGTACCGATTGTGCTACTGTTTACCATGTATATATGCTATTTGATTGATTATTCTTGAAGTCAAAATAATACTTGTACTACAATTAAAACTTGTTAATACCTGATTGACACCATCGATATTTCAAGCTTTGTTTTATTGAGTATACATTCTGGTAAAATTTTGACGCTTTGGAGTGCTGGGTGTATGAGTTTTTGGTTCTCATATGGGGTCTTATTTCTAATCCCTTTTCCGGAAATATGAGTAGCCTCTTTATGTTCTACATCTCCTCCGCCTCTACCGGAAAACAAGATTTTTACCTGAAAGAAATTATAGTGGGTAAACTCTCTTTTTTTTCAAAGTCTCAACAGTAAAAAATATGGACAATAGTGTACTTTATGCCAAAAGCTGCAAAAGCAACAATATCATTTAACTATTAAAAAAACATTTCTTAATTGTGAAAAAAACTATTATATATATATATATATATATATATATATATATATATATATATATATATATATATATATATATATAGTTACGCAACTTGTTAATTTATTGAATATTAAGGATTTATTGTTATATTTCTTAGTTAGGTAAGGTATGTATTTTTCTTAAAACCACTAAAAGGTTGGTGGTTGCAAAAGAATTTTTGAAAATATAGTTGTTTTGTAGAAAAACAAAAAACATTACATGTTTGACCAACATTTGCATGTTACAGTGGTTGTGATAGAATTTTTATTAAAAAACAGATAGTTAATTTAGCATAAATAAAAATTAGGTGATTAAATCGGAAAAAATGACAAACAATAATGGTTTTTATGTTATTACCAATTTTTTTAAAATCTATTTGTCAAACTTATTTATATGGATTTGTTTTGAATTTTGGTTTCGGCCCCCCTAGTTTGTGCTTAAATACTTATTTGTTGATTGTGTTGTATAATCTTTGGTTATACGTTTTTTTTTTGTTCACTAATGATGTATTTTTGTTGAATATGCTAAACTTATTTGTTGATTGTGTTGTAATATGATTAATCTTTGTAGCTAAAGTATGTATTCTATTTTTTTGTTATTAGCAATGGGAGATAAACATACATGGACCAATGAGCAAAAAAAATGCTTATTGCAAACTTGTATTGAAGAAGTGCAAACCGTGGGTAGAAAATGTTTGAGTTTGCACAAACAATCATGGCATAAGTGAGGAAAAACCATTAAGGAAAAGTTTAGCGTGGATTTGAATCAACAACAATTAAAAAACGCCTATGATAACCTTAAAGCGAAATACATAGGATGGTTATACTTAAAAAACAAAACTGGAAACCTTTACAATCCACAAACAAATACTTTTAACTTAACAAATGAGGAGTGGGAGAACTTTAAAAAGGTATATATATATATATACACACACACACATATTTATATGTGTTTTGTTTATATAGTTGTCATTTATTCTTATATTACTTTTGTTACATTGATTGCGTTTAGGGACATCCGAAAGCTGCTTCTTTGAAAACCGTCCCATTAGTGTTTCCAGAGCTTTGTGCAGAACTCTTTGATGGTAACAGTGCATCTGGTAATCGGAGCTATGCCACATCCCAAACACCATCGGGACATGGATTATCTTCTTTCCATGTCGCACCACTACAGCTTATGGACGCCCCTTCCATTAACATAGATGAGGATGACTTCTTTTCCAGTCATACTCAGCCTCCATCTTCTGCTGCTTCACCTTCTGTTGATTCACCTTTTGTAACCCCAACAAAAGGGCTAAACCCTCAACTCCAAGACCTCGAGCTCCTAGTGCCTCACTTGATCCACCTTCTTGTGCCTCGCCTAAAGTTTCTATTAATGATGATGATTTAGCACTGGAGATGCAAAAAGCTCTACGCCATTTGACTCAAGGGCCAACAATTCCCTAATGCTTAGAGAAGCTTGAGTTGCTCAAGTTAGACCCAGTAGACCCTTTACGATTTGGTGCGTATCATATTTTTCGAGGGACCATGAATATGAGAGAGATGTGGGTAAATTTGCCTAATGGTCCGCAAATATTAAGAGGATGGATCGAGATGACAACTACAAGTTTAGGAGTTTTAAAGGATGGAAAGATTGTTCGTTAAGTTTATACGCTTGAGTTGTTTAGGTTTTAATTGCAATGTTTTAGTACTTGAATGTTATTTTTAGTATTTGGTACTTGAATGTTATGTTATTTTTAGTATTTTGTACTTGAATGTTATGTTATGTTATTATCTTATGTTAGTTGGCTCTTGAGTCTTATGTTATGTTATTATCTTATGTTATGTTATGTTTTGCTGATTAATAGGTTTGTAATGGATCACGACAAAAAGATATTACTCATAATTCTTTTGTACTTGTACATCCGCTACTTTTGGAAGAGGGGTGTGAAACGAGTGCGGGACAACGATTCGGAAATGACGGGACATGAATTTACGTTAGAGTTACTTCACCGTAATCCTCTACAATGTCTTGAAGTCCTACGCATGTCCCGTGAATCAGTTGTCCGGCTATGTGCTCATTTTAGAGTAAACTATGCATTAAAGGATAGCAAACATGTGTCGGTCGAGGAGAAGATGGCTATGTTTTTTATGATGATCGGTCATAACCAACGTTATGTGATTATCAAGCAGAGATTTCAACACTCAAAGCAAACAATTCATAAGTTTTTTCATGAAGTGTTGGACAAAATGTTGCTTTTCTCACATGACATTATAGTACCAACTTCTTTTAATCCGAATCCAAACATTCCGGGACATAATAGGAGACTACGACAGGCGTTCAAGGGAGCAGTTGGTGCACTTGTTGGCACTTTGATACATGTTGTTGTCCCAGGAAACAAACGGGATTTATATAGAAGTAGGGGAAAAGGAGATTGTTACCAAAACGTATTGGCAATATGTGACTTCAACATGATGTTTACGTTTGTTGTGGCCGGTTGGGAAGGGATAGCACACGATTCTAGAATTTTATCAGAAGCATTAGCAAATCCACATGCACCATTCCCGCTTCCACCATCAGGTATATTAATGGTTATTTAAATAGTTTTATCTTAGTTTGAAAAATAAATGACTTTTTTTTGTTTTTTTACAGATAAGTATTATCTTTGTGATGCCGCCTATGCAAACATTCGAGGTTTTATGGCACCGTACCGTAATGTGAGGTATTGGCTTGGAAATTTCCATCAAAGACGTGCATTAACGAATAAAGAAAAGTTTAACCATGCACATGCAAAACTTCGGAATGTCATTGAGCATGCTTTTGGTGTCTTGAAAGCACGATTCCCTATATTGAAGAGGATGACACCATTCTCGTTGGTTACACAACGAAACATTACCCTAGCATGTTTTGCGCTTCATAATTTTATAAGAAGAGAGGGACTACGTGATGAGTATTTTGCACGATATGATGAACCAAATATCCCGGTTCAGAATAACAATGCGGTCGTTGATAATGATGAAGATGAGATTCCAATAGGGGCGGATTCTTGTAGGGGCCAGAGGGGGCGATGGCCCCCTTGCTTATATCTTGGATATTAAACAAAAATGAAGCTTTGGAGACTCTTGAAAGGAACTGAACACCACAAAATAAAAAACTAGAAGTTTTGTGTATAACGGGAAGTCCTAAATTCAAGTAAGCACGAACCACCAAGAGTAAAATCTAAAATTTCAAACTATCTGATAATAACTATGAAAGAAAGAATAAACTAAAAAGTCTAAAAAAATATAACTGAATGTGTTGCCATTCTCCATCCTTGTTGATTTCATCTCCGGTCTTGGTATCACTATGAACCCAACCTTCATTAGTCGTTGAACGTTATCACTGGTTGGGTTCTCAGCCTCTCCAGCCTCTGCATCGACGAAGATTCACTTTTACTGCTCCACTTACTTATAACTCCAGGCTTGTTCTCTGTATCTTGTTCTTTCTCGGTGGTTGCTTAAGTTTTTTTTATGGTATAATGTTATTTAAAGGAGTCAAAGGCTACAGCAATACATTGCGTGTGTTTGTGTGTCTATACATGAATTGTCTTTTCTACCAAACACTAGAAACTATACTATTTTAGGTCTTAGGTATAGTACATGTGACTCGGAATCACTATATCATATATTAGCTTTTTGAATAGATGTGTGATAGTATATAATTATATATATATATCTATTACTAATTTTTTTGAGACATATAAGATAGTAAGGTATCTTTATTAACAAATGTATAAACCATTTGTCTTGTTCATTTTTATTTTTGTATCAATATATTGTTTTATGATTTAATTGTGTAAGTTAGATTTGAGGAGATATAAAGAAATAGTTCATTATAAAACCGTTTTAAGAAAAACATTTATCATGAAGGGCTTTTTTCTAAAAGACAATGTTAATAGATTATTACAGATTAATAAAAAGAGTTGTTAATTGTTTGATAATTTAGATTCAAAGATCTAGTTCGTAATCGTTAGAAAAAGATACATTAAACAAAATGTATAAGAACTGTTTTGATATCCTATAATCCAAAGAATTTATTAAACTTGTTTATATTATTCTATTTTGAAGATTTTCGGCCCCTCCGAATTTAGTGCTCGTGTTCCGTCCCTGGATTCCAATAAATGGTACTGCAGCGGACCGTGAATATATGATCCAATTACGGGATGAAATTGCCGAACAATTGATGCAACATATGGAATGAGAATTATTCAAGTTTGGTTGTATGAATTTTATTTAAAAATGTTAATTGTAAGACTAATTTGGTTGTTTGAATTTCATTTCAATGTTTTAAAACTACAATTGTTAAATTTTTGTTATTAAAAAACTATTTTCGGTTTATTAAATTACTTTATTTTTAATTTTTTAATATCTACAGCAGCCTGCAGACGTTAAAAAAACAAACATGCTTATCATTACAGTCTGCAGCACTTTGGTCCACCTCTTGCAGAGGTATACAGAAGTGGTCCGCAGACTTCAGACAGTTCCACTTCGGAAAAACAAACGACACCTATGACTGCGAGATTATGTATCATCCGGGCAAGGCTAATGTGGTAGCTGACGCCCTGAGCTATAGAGCAGAGATTGCTCCGATCTGAGATTTGTGTATGAGGATGACAGTGATGACTCCAATCTTAGATACCATTCGAGAGGCCCAGGTGGAGGCTGTGAGACCGGAGAACCACAAAAGGGAGTGGCTGATTGGTCAGGTGCCCGAGTTTGTGACGGATAATCGAGGGCTTATGACTTTTCGAGGGCGGGTTTGGGTGCCCTATACGGGAGGAGCTCGGCGTATACTGATGGAGGTGCATAGATCGAGATTCTCGATCCATCCTAATGCCATTAAGATGTATTTGGACCTGAAGAGAGACTATTGGTGGCTCAGTAAGAGAGGGATGTTGCTTGGGTAGTTTAGAGGTGCTTGACCTGCCATCAGGTTAAGGCAGAGCACCAGCATCCAGATGGTCCATTACAGCCTCATGAGATCCCCCAGTAGAAGTGGGAACAAATCTCTATGGACTTTATCACCAAGTTACCGAGGACTGCGTGTGGAATTGATGCGATTTAGGTGATTATGGATCGACTGACGAAAAGTGCTCACTTCCTTGCTATTAATGAGAGCTCCTCTATGGAGAGACTGGCCGAGATCTATGTGAGAGAGGTGGTAGCACGGCATGGAGTACCGACCTCGATAGTGTCAGATCGAGACGTGCATTTTACTTCTAGGTTTTGGAAGAAATTTCATGAGGAGTTGGGCACGCGCTTACATTTCAGTACGGCGTACCACCCGTAGACGGACTGGTAGAGCGAGCGGACGATTAAGACGCTTGAGGACATGATGCATGCATGTGTTATAGATTTTAGAGGAATATGGGACACTTACTTACCCCTGGCTGAGTTTTCTTACAACAACAACCATCATTCGAGTATTTGTATGCCTCCCTTTGAGATTATGTATGGGAGGAGTTGTCGAACTCCCATTTGTTGTGGAGAAGTAGGGCAAAGGGTGATGGGTGGCACTGAGATAGTGCTAAAGACGACTGAGTAGATTCAGTAGGTTAGACAGAGGTTACTGACAGCCTAAAGTCGCCAGAAGAGTTACGCAGATCGGCGGCGTTCCGAGATAGAGTTCCAGGTTGGAGACTTTGTCTTCCTGAAGGTATCCCCATGGAAAGGAGAGATCCGATTCAGGAAATAGGGCAAGTTGGGGCCCCGATACATCGGTCCTTTCAGAGTGACCGCTAGAGTGGGTAAGGTAGCATAGCTACTTGCAGAGTTGAGTCAGATCCATAACACATCCCACATGTCTTAGTTGAGGAAGTGTGTAGGTGATGAGATGGCAGTGGTGCCATTAGAGGACATTTAGGTGGATGTGATCCTGAATTATTTTGAGAGGCCGATTGCGATCTTGGATCATAAGGTGAAGGTTCTAAGGAACAAAGAGGTGCCCCTGGTTCAGGTCCAGTGGCAACATCGGAGAGGGTCCGATTTGACTTAGGAGCTAAAATCCAAGATGCGGGAGCAGTATCGAGAGCTATTTCCACGGCATGACTTCGAGGGTGAAGTTTGATTCTAGTGGGGGAGAATTGTAACATCTGGACACCCAACTATATTATCTATTTATTTGTTTTGAGGACCATTGAGCAACTCGACAAGTTAGTGCTACAACTCGTCGAGTAGAGTCGCATTGTGCCACGTGGGATTAATAATCTACTCGAAGAGTCATAGATTCAACTCGCCGAGTAGACACTGTGAAGTGAAACCCTAAATCCCCGAGTTTGAGGCCTATATAAGGACACTTATAGCCTCATTTGCGGCACACCAGCTACGTAACCTTATTGTGTGAAACCCTAAACGAGTGTAGTGAGCATAGAG